TCTCCTTTCAACTCACAATACCCTCTTTTTCAAAATAATTGTTGAATCAGAGACCTAAGACTAAGATGTATGGAAATTTTTAGTGACATAACCGACATGTAAGATGAAGAAAATACTTAAAAGAAAATGTAGGTTTCACTGTTCAGTGTGGAGCATAAGGTCACAACCACCAACAATGAACTTGAACAAGATAGTACAATCTTTAGATATATGAGACTGTGAGACATTATATAGAATGGCTCTTAAGTGAATGGCTTGTCATGGCTACTGTACATATACCTAAGTATACCCATAGACTAACCAACACAAAGAAGATTTGTTATCCCATTGTAAAATCAAATAAAAAGGTAAAATACCAGTTGTGCTGTAAATAATCCTTGTTTATTCTAGATACCAAGGGTTTGAACTTTAAGGTTCCTTTTAAGCTGAAATCCACTAAGTTATGATTGTGAAGATTCAAAATATATACTACAAAAATTTAACAAAGATTTTGCCAAATTTTAATACTTTGCGCGGTTGAAATTTTGAAATTTTCGAGAGTCAAACCTTAAACCAGCCTCTGGATTGAACGATATTTTTTGCTCCTTGTTCACTTCTGGTCCGAACCCCATGAAGAACCTCAGCAAGTTAAGTCTACTGGGCGATTCAGCAGACAAAGCGAGGGGGATGAGGAGGACAGCTGATAAATGCAGCATCTGGGGAATACAGGACAATGAGATATATGGGAATAATGAGAACCGACTAATACCTTGTTAAAAGTTTCTAATCCTTTACGTAATATGACACTCTATAAATGAAAAGTGATTTACACTACTGACTGAATGACATATGATGATAACAAAAATTGTATGTGTTCTTTCTACATAAACCCATATGCTTGTTGAGGGGGATTAATTGATGATTGTTGTCCGAGCAACACATCCAGAACTTTAACAAACATTATGTTATTAGTTATATATTATATAGCTACCACTTCAACAAACTACCAAAACAAAAATGTTTTGCTGGGAATTTACTCTAGGTTAATGAATAGAAGACCTTTATATTTCACGCAAGTTGTTTTTACAGTCCTTATTTTCTGTGGACCACTGGAGGTTGCAAATACTGCATATTTTACTTTACTAGCAAAATGTGTAAAATCAAAATGTATCAAAACCAGAACTTAAATTTAATATATTTTTTTAAAGCATGGGATGTAATATTCTAAAAAGAGATTACAGAAGGGATGTTTTCCGTGCCACTTGCATGTTTTATAGCCAAATGAAAATATAAAAATAAGTGTACTGTAGGTGATATCAATGCTAAGTAAATTTAAGTTTTTGAGGGGTCCAACGTGCTGAAAGATGTTAGGGTAAAATGTCAAATACCTACAATTTGAACACAATTAAAATAACCATTAAGGTCCCAAAAGAAATGCCCATGTAGCATTTGAACCAGGCTCATTTGTTGTGTATGCAAACAGAAACAAATTAATTTTAAATTTGTTATAAGGTTCACTCATTACCAAATCTAAATATCGGTACTGAACTGTACTACATTACAACTATTGAGCACAGTTGATAAAATTTAGGCCTATTATCAAAGGGTTTAAATGGTTGGTATTTATATGGTGAGAGGGTTAACTCACCATGATATTCATAGTGAAGAGATGTGATGCAATCTAGAAGGCTGTGGATTGAATGCTGCTCTCCCTCTCTCTCTCCTCTTCTTTTTTACTCTCCCTTTCATAGAAAGTGAAGTGTTGATCTGGGGAACAAGATAGCCACTAGCCAGTCCAGCTGTAGGTGTTGGTAGTCTGAAATCTGAGAACACTTGCTTACAAGACTTGCTCTATTCTTGTATTTATTCATTTTTGAGGGGGCAAAACAGATGTAACCATCCAAAACTCAATCTAAAAAAATGTCGGTAATAAAATAAATTTTTCATTTATAAAATGCTATAGGCCTATTATAAGAGGGAGAAAGTAAAAAAAAACTTAGGCTTATTGAGCCTTGGGTAGAATAATTACTGTAAATTACTAATAACCATTATGTCATATCCAATTTATTTACCAATACTTTAATACTTTTTAACTGAAATGCAGTCCATACAAAGGTAGGTATTTTAAGCCAAGTATGAATGGAAGGGTGAGTGACTTGTGGCGTGATCATGTAGTCTTGTTACTGACTAAGAAATTTTCCTCAGGCAAGGCTGTTAATTAATAGCCCATACAGCCAATGGTAACTAAAGGACTACATGGAAGTTGAAGTTATACTAAAAAAATCTTCTGTTTTTTGTCGAGTGTGTAAGTCACAGCACAATCTGGGATATCAAGAATAAGAAGTTCCAAATTTGTTGAGGTACACCAGCACATATAACAAATCAGGCAAAGTATGCATGGGCGTCCATAATGGGCTTGTGGGGGCCTAGAGCCCCCCCTCTTTAAGAACCCACATTTTTAGATTTTGCAGTAAAAACATAAAATTAATAATTTAGGTACAATATTAAATAAAATCGAGCATTTTTACCTAAATTTGAAACATTTTCTGGGAGAGGACATGTAGTGGCAGTGTTAAATATAGATCTGTGTCGTTGGATGGACGTTTGAAATCAATCTTAACTATCAGAACTACAAATTTCAGCCTTCAATTAGATGATATTTTAACTGGCAAACACAATATTCCCATTAAAAATTAATGTACTTTTTACACCTCACACTTGTCATAAACTCCTGTATTGTAACATTTTCTTTTTGCCATTACAATTAAACGTTCTATAAATTAAATTTTGTATTAGATAGAAAAGATTTATGCCATCCTGTGTTTTCATTAGGCCTCTATGAAATGTTAGCTAGCCGACAACAAATAACAATCATTGAGATGGGGACGCAAGTTATATATACAGAAAATAAAAACCAAGCAAGAAAATCTAAAAAACCACCCCTAACTCTTGATCAGGATTATTATGTACAAGTATAGGGACCAGCTAGCTTACCTAGTAGACAGAGACCAGATTAGCCTTGGTAACACACATAAAACACATAACAGAAAACTTAATATTTTGTCCCAGTTAGGGACTTCATCAGAAGGGAGAAGAAATGAGACTGCTTTCTGAAAGAGTCTCCTTTCTTCTTCCCTTCTGGTGAAGTCCCTAACTGGGATGAAATATTAAGTATTCTGTTAAGTGTTTTATGTGTGTTAACAAGGCTAATCTGGACTCAGGTAAGCTAGCTGATCTCTATACTTGTACATAATAATCATAATCATCCAATTGACCTTTCCCTAACTTCTAAACTCTTAATCAGTCAACGACTTCATGGGCTTATTGGGGAGGTGGGAAACTTTCTGCACTGAACTATGATTGGTCCGCCTCCCCTCCAAAAATTTACAATTTCGCCCTCGAGGAGAAAAGGTTGGAGATTCCTGGTCTATTAAATGGTTCTTTGTGTAAAACATTTAAAGAGATCCTGCCCAGAGTTCTATGATGGAAACCTTAGTAGTGCACAGAATGCGCTAGAGAGCAATTAGAGAAATGTCATGAACTGTTCTATCTGGACTGAGGATTCCATTCGTATTGTAAATTACTCATAATCCAAAAGTCTTTAAAATAATATAAGGATTGTAGCTTAGATTGAATATTATATTGTTTAGCTTACATTTTCTATCCCATTGTTTGTGGAGAGTGTGTTTTAACCTTTAGAGGCCTTCAGCTCTTCATCACATTATGTTAAATAATTGTATCTTGGCTACGTTGTGTTGTAGCACCTGCGTCAGTTTGAAGATTCATTTTTACACAAAACATACATTCATGACACGGAAAATTATTAAAGTACGATTGTCGATTACATGAGCAGGCTCAGGGCTGCGGCAACACTTGGTCGTATGACATAATGAAATGTAGTGTTTGAACAGTAATTTAGTATTGGATGAATGGGAATTTGACAATTGGTAACATGAATTGATTTGAATGAACAGGAGTGGGAGTTTAAAATGTATACAAATCAATCTTTGGAAGTTTAAAGGAGGGTAATAAAACTATAAACCATCCAGTAAAAAGTGTATTTATTGAAAACAACAGTTATCACGGACAAAATCAAAGGAAATTTGTTCTGATAATAACGACCTTAATACAAGAAATTTGTAATCACAGTAGCATGGTTTTTAAATTCATTAAATAATTTTACTAACCACTTTTAAAAAGCACTGTAAGACTTTCCTAAACTTGTACATATTTTTTTGCTTCAACAAAAGCATAAAATATAAATGAATAACAACAATTAGCTTTGGTAATGTTATCAGATACTACCTAATGAATTAAATTATATATTACAATAATAAAATGATGATTTTATTTAGATAACATACAAGTTAGTAAAATATTTTCTTGATAGCAAGCATGGTAATGTAACACACAAAATCTACAATATGTACAAATAAAGTTTATGTAATAGGTCAAAATAGACTTTAGTTTAAATAATTTCTTTGTAGCTTCCAGAATTATGTAGGTAGCTTTGCAGGATGAAATCACTGTAATAACTTTTGATTTTATATAAAAATGTAACCTTTACCTTTCCAACTATTTGTTTTTAGTTTTTATGCACATTTTTACTTTGTGTTCAACCCAAATATATTTTTTAAACTCCTTAATATATATAAAATGTATCTAATTTCTAAATAATGCCAAAAATACTGTAAGTTTATTCATGCTAAAAAAAGGAGCATGGGGCAATCTAGTCCAAGTATTTATAAAATCCCAATTGATAAAATGGGATTTGTGCTTTTTCAGTTGTATTTTTCGTAACTAATAACAATTTTAAAAAAATGTGATGAATTAAGGGTAAACATGATTCCCAAGCATTCGCTTGACAACAAATTATTAGTTTTCGACCAGATAGCAACCTATAAGTTTCAGAATGGACAAGGACCACACGCAAAACAGTGACTAAAGTCTACTATGACCCAGCAGTTTTACACTATATACAATGTGTTTATCTACATAGCAAAATACAATGATACAAAGTATACAATGATGAGCGTATATTGAGTGCATATAGAATGGCAACATGGAGTTTTGTTACAAGACATTCGGCTGTTCAGGAATGAGACTGAGGAAGAAGCTAGAGAATGCCGCCCAGGTCAGTGCGAGGGTAGACGGAGGTGCAGGGGGTGCGGGGGCCGGGGGTGGGGGGGAGTTGTTGTTGTCTGGTGTAGGCGGAGGTGTGGCGGGGACTGGTGGCTCCTCAGGTTGGTCCAGACGCTGTACCGCTCTGAAGAACCCCACTTGATATCTGTAAACAAATTCGTGCCATATTTTTCAAAATATTAAAGAGATTTGATTTCATATGATATTATTTGATATGAGATCGTTTAATTTTTACAGCAGTACTAGTACTAAATGAATATACTAATGTTTAGTATTTAGATTCAATATAAAAGTTTGTTCTGAAGATATAGTTACTTACACTGGTGCTACTGGCATTTACATCCTACAAACACTAAATAATGTCTAAAACGAAACAATTTCTAACTAAAATAATTTCACTAAAGACCAAAACATAAATTAAAACTAATATTTTTAAAATAAACAATAGCGTGAATCGCAAACGTAACTTTTAGTTACAAAATAAACAAAGAATAAAACGTGTTGCTGGTAGCAACAGTAAAGGAGCGAAAAGAACCGGCAATTAATAATTTGAAGCTTTTAGACTTAATTGACACATTAACCAGATATTAAGTCCTTTGTATTGTTGTGTACTATATAAAATCAAATCGGATTTATTTCCCCAACCTAAAACCAAAATAAAACTATATTTCTCCCAAAAAGGATATGAAATACGAATAGCTGAAGACTGATAATTCACTGAAGCCGATTATTACATCATCACTGTTAAGCAAGTCATAGCACCAAGAGGGTTCATAAAGCCACTAGGCTGTTTGGCAGCTGCTACTAACCAGCTGTTTTTTAACATCTCCAGCTGCCAGCAGATCTGTAGGGTTCACATTATAACCACCAGCCGCCAGTAAATAGCCGCAGTTTGTAGACGTCACCTGATCGTGGACCAACTTTGACTTCTTTACGTCGTAAACTTCATTGCTATATGAATCACGTAGACTTTTTTCTTTTAAAAGACCACAGCTTATTTTAGTCTTAGTTCTCCATACAAATATGGAAGACTCATTATAAGCTGCATTGATATTCCTGTCAATGTAGTTGGCAGACAAAGCATCCCTCAGGCAAGGATAATTTTGGAATGAATCTAATCTAGAAATGTTACAATGTCTTTTCCCGACCCCATGTTGGTGTCAACCATGTTCAATATTCCCAAAAAGAAGTATAAAATACAGTACAACGAAACTAACAAAGCATAAACAAAGAATCTAGACTCTTGATAATTCACCAGCCCCTTGTGAGCTACTAGGGGTTCACATTGGCTGGCTGCCACCAGCGAGGAGGTCACGTGACTGGCAGCAGAGGGTAGGCAGCTTTAAAAAATTAAAACATGTTCGTCTTTTGATTTCGGCTAGTTAACACCAGCTCACTGGCATTTACCAGCCGCTAGTTCTGGGTCAGACTAGGCTGTTTGCTGGCAATATTACCGGTGGCTGGTTAATAGCGGCTGCTAAACATCCTAGTGTGACCTAATGGAAGTCAATGTTGTTTATTTAAAATACATTAAAACTAAAACGGGATTAGGTAATAAAATAAAAATTGGGGATGAAATTTTAAAAAGAAAGATAGAAGGCATAGAAAGAGACCTAGCAAGAAGACAGATGACATAGAGACAGGCCAAGGCACTTGCTGAGGATCGAAACGGGTGGCGGGATTTTGTCGAGGCCCTATGTTCCACCAAGGAACTCACGGAAATAAGTCAAGTAAGTCAATTTTAAAAGGAAAAGATGTGTCAATTATTGTGACAATAAAATTATGTAAAAACTGAAACAGAATGCTTATTTTTTGTTAGTAATTATTAATAGTTTTTTTTTCAGAGAAGTTAAGGCAGGAAAGATGCTTCAAACTATTTTTCAACTCTTAGGAAATCGGTAATAAATAATAGGACTATGCACACCTAATATCATTGGAGGGACTCTTAAAGTTGAGTTAAACAGTCCTTTTAGGGGTAAAATGTACTAAAATCAAAATGCTTTGTAAGACACCCCCTACACAATGCAGTAGGTAAAAAATAACCCGACACTTGATAGTGCAATGCTGCTCTAAATGAATAACCAGTGATGCCTGAACAGTGTTGAAATGTGATGCGTTCTGACAGGATAAAACATATTTCTGGTCACATTTTCCAGTAAATTTCTTAATACTGAAGACTACATAATCGAAGAAACTAAGCATACTGTCAACTGTGACGAAGTCGAGTTGCCATTGGAGGTACAAAAAGGGATACACCATGAATAGAAAAAAAAGATTCTAGACTTATTACATTTACAAATTAGCGTAGTATTTTCAATTCATCCTTTACTTGTTTGTTTATAAATAAATAAAAGACAATAGACACAACAACTTACAGGTACATGATGATTCCAAGTGTGAAAACAACAAAGAAACGGACAGGTGAAGAGTAGAAGTAGACAATGCTGAAGAGCACCAACGTACGACTCATGATGTAGAACCAGTCAAGCCAATCTCTGTTGCCGCGAAGATCCTCTTCTTCTACATCTGTAAAGGAAAATAAACATACGGTTGCCAGTTCAATCAAAAGATGAGTCTGTAGAGTTTCATGGATCTATAATAAGATCCAGCCTTTCCATTGTATTTTGGGTAGGCCCTTATTAATTCATAATTCTGATTAACTAGCTTATCTTGGTCAATAACAGGGCAACCATATAATTTAATAACACTCATTCTTCACTTTAAAATTTAGTGTGTTAGCATAAAAAAAAATAATCAAATATTTTGATGTAAAAAGCGATATTTAATTAAAATATTTATAACAGTGGATTGTTATATGTTATGATGTTTTGTTATGATTCACAACTCCTTTGTTAGCTACTATTATTTTTCTGTGCTTTTTTAGCTCAACATTTATCTATCGTCAATATAGTAGTGAAGTATTTCATTTAGATGTAACATCACTATACATTGGTTACCTTGACATAACAACAACAATAATTTCCATCTCAATCACTGATGTCACTTAAATACATTAAGGAAGAAGGAATGGATACTTAACTTACCTAAGAAAAGAGTTCCCAGCATACAAAAAAGTTAACAACACAATTAACTTGATATTTCACCCTACAAACCAACAACTCTTCATCATAGAAAAACTTGTAAGGGTCAAATATCAAGTTTATTGTGTTGTCAACGTTATGTGTGCTTTCAACTACCTCAAACTCTTTTCTTATTAGTTGTGTATCCATTCTTTCTATAATATGTATTCCTAAGCAAAGTGCTTTTTACTCCAAAAAACTAATTTCACTGAAAGAAATCAAAGCTCTAATACAACATTAACACAAGTAGTGGATTCGGCACAAATTGAAAAAGAAAATACAGTGGTATTACTCGGAGGAAGCAATGACAGCTTGAAGAATAATTTCACAGATATTTATGGAAATTTAGAAAAAAAACTTTCTTCTTTAAGCAACAACAGACAAGTTTTCATCTGCACAATACCAGCAAGACACGACTTACCAGCACACAGTTACCAGAATGTTGAAATCAGGAAGGTAAACAACTACATAGAAGAATTAACCAAAAGGCTAACCAATGTAACTTTAATTAATCTTAACCGATTTCAGAGACCGGACTTCACTAATCATGGCCTCCATCTCAATGGTAGGGGTAAGAACAAATTAGCCCATACAATAATAGGTGCTGTTTCTCTTTGGTATGCTAAAAAGCCTCAGAGTATTTCCCGCAGTACACCAATGGTTTCTCCAGCCAGCTCCTCAATCCCAAAACTGATTGAGACTGAAGACAACTTAAAGGAGGTGATTGATGATCTGAAAAACAATCATAAGGTTGCATTTGCAAACACTATCCCTGCAGATTTTACTGACACTAAAGCTTCAAACCAATTTAAAATCCATCTAACTGAAAAACCTATGTTTGATGTTATTAAAAATTACCAGCTTGACCAATCAGTAGGGTTCGCACACAGTATTTCAGCTGATTTTAACCATCCACGTCACATGACAGCAGGAGTGGCAGTTGTCTTTAGGCGACACTTTGGCAGACCAGAATCGCACCACTGCATTTCATCACATCTAGCAGTGCAATCCACTTTGCATTGTGCTACGGTTTACAGTTTGGTTACAAAAGACAACTATTTTGGTAAACCGGACATATCTGACTACACAACAGCTTTTAAAGATTTGACTACAGATTTCAAAACCAAAGGGCTAAAACATCTTATATGCTCTCCCATCGGATGCGTAAGAGATAAAGTAGCGCTACCCCATTTCTTCAGTAACCTCAGAAGTTTTCAAGAATCTACAGGAGCGAGAGTAACTATTGTTTCATACTACCAAGAGTCCCTTAGACAACTAAGAAATGGCTTAACACATAGTGAATTTAACAACAGAATCCAGTCTTTTATTGATAACAACTTTAATAAAAAGGAAGAAGTGAATGTCAGTGCTGAATCATTAGAGGATAGGATAGCAGCCTGCATAAGATCACCTGTCCAGCCAACACCATATACAACAATAGATTGTAGGAGCCCAGACCCGTCATCGACCTGTCCAGCACCGCCTGCCTCAATAACACCTTCAGCAGCCCTACCAACACCTTCGACGCTGACACCTACCCCAGTGAATGAGAATGTGATCAAAGTAGTGCCCGGCAACTTCACCTTCTGTGAGTTGCTAAAGCAGAGCAAAAGTGATAGGCCAAGTGTGGAAGTGAATAAAGCTAGTTATGTACCACAATTGTTAAATTTAGAGGTAGATTCTGCAATCCAAAACGATACCATTAATTTTTTAGTAGATCAAGCAGCCCCCATTGTAAAAATAACCTTAGAATAAACAATTTATGTATTTTTCATCAAAACATTAGAGGGTTGCAATCATCAATTGAACCTTTAGAAGTAACTCTAACTGAACTAACACCTAGTATTGTTGTCTTGACAGAACATAAAATGATGAGTTCTACTCTGGAAAGACTAAATATTAATGGTTACAATGTCGCTGCCAGTTTTGGGCGGAAAAAATCTAGAGGTGGTGGTGTAATTATTTTAGTAAAACCATTTTTTACCTTTAAAGAAATTATAATACCTGAAATTCAAAATCTCGTCACTGAACAAATTTTTGAATGTTGTTTAGTAGAGGTAGATAAAATTATCCCCAGGGAAAAACTTATTATAATTGGTTTCTACAGGAATCCAATCAAGCAAAATGAATCTGAGTTTATCAAACGACTCGATACAATGCTTGAAATTATTAGTTTTAAATACAAATAAGTGGTTTTTATGGGAGATATTAATATTGATATGCTGAACTTAAATGACACCAGCAGGAAAAACTTACTGCATGTTGTAACAGCTAATGGCTTCTGGTCATTGGTTGATTTTCCTACAAGAATCACCGATACAACTAAAACTGCAATAGATAATGTTTTTACAAATTTAAATAGTGGCTGTTATAAAATCACGGGTATTAATACACAACTTTCGGACCATGATGGCCAAATAATTGAAGTTTTTACTAATAAAAAAAATAGCCTGAATAATTCTTCCGTTTATTTTGAACATAAAAGAAATTTTAATAATAAAAACGTCGAACAATTCATATCTGCTTTACAACATGAGTCATGGCTTAATCTTTATTTATGCCCTGTAGAATGCAAGTATGATGTTTTTTATGAAATATTTATGCATTATTTTAATACATTCTTTCCATCAACTCTCTCAAGACAACATACTAACTGCAAGTGGATTTCTAATGAACTGAAGTTGGAAAGACAAAATATTATTAATCTTAACAAAGCAGCTAGAGAGTTAAATAGCAAAAAAATGCTACAGGAGGCTAGAGAAAAAAATAAGCAGTTTAGAAAAAAATTTTATTCTTCAAAAAAACAGTATTATAAAAGAAAAATTGGTAATTCTGACAATGTTAATAAGGTATCTTGGAAGATCGTGAACTCTGAAATAGGAGCTAAAACTATAAATAATTGTAATATAAACCTAATAGTAAATAATGATGTATGTTCTGACCCTTCCCTGGTCTGTAGCCATTTCATCAATTATTTTGCAGATGTAGTAAAAGAAACTGATACTTTCAATATAGATTCATTCCTAAAAACTGTTGATGACACTCTGCATCCTGTACTTTCTTCAGATAAAAGGAGCTTTAAATTTAGCTTTGTTGATGAGAGAGATATTGATAAAATTATTAAAAGTCTAAAAAACTCCTATAGTACTGGCTACGATGGTATTCCCATGGTTCTTTTTAAAAAAGCTAAATTAGTCCTACTTAAACCAATAGCCCATCTTATTAACTCATCTTTGATATCAGGAATTTTTCCTAATAAACTCAAAATTACAAAATTAAAACCAGTATTCAAAAAAGGAAACAAACAAACAGTATCAAACTATAGACCTATTGCTCTGCTGCCTTCTATTTCAAAAATCTATGAAAAGGTTGTTTATAACCAACTTGTATGCTTCTTTGAAAATAATGGTATACTTGATGACTGCCAACATGGATTCCGAAGGGGCAGATCTGTCATAACAGCTGCCACAGCTTTCATTGAATCCATCGTTGATAGCTTAGAAAGAAAATCCTAAAGTGGTTGGGTTGTTCATGGACCTCAGTAAAGCTTTTGACTCCATTTCTCATGAGTTGTTACTTTTAAAGCTCAGTAGTAGTAGACTAAATAGTACTGCATTGAACTGGTTCAAGTCATATCTTTCTGATAGAAAACAATACGTGGAACTGAGTCACTGTAATGATAAAAATTATAAAATTTCTTACAATTCTTGTACTCGGGAAGTTAAATATGGGGTGCCCCAAGGTTCGATCCTAGGCCCTCTTTTATTCATCTTTTACTTGAGAAATTTTCCCCAACTAAGTGTTTTGAGCAAGCTTTGCCTTTATGCTGATGATGCAAATTTAAAAATAGCCGCAGAAACGTATGCTGAACTTGAAGCCAAGGCCAATTCTGATATATTATTACTTAACAGTTTTTTTAACTCAAATAATTTGCGTTTGAACACATATAAAACTAATTTTATGTGCTTTCAAGCAGGGAAAACTAAACTGCAAAATCTGCCAAAAATTGTAGTTAATAACAACACAATTCAAAATAAAGAACACATCAAATTCTTAGGATTAGAAATTGATGAAAATTTGAAGTGGAACCATCATATTGACAAGTTACTTTCTAAAATTTCATCTGGCCTGTATGCGTTAACAAGATTAAAACCCCTATGTGATAAGGAAACATTAAAAGTTATATATTTTTCATACATACATTCAATCATATCATTTGGAGTTTCACTTTATGGTGCAGCAAAGAAGAAAAAATTAAAATCAATTCTAAAAAAACAAAAAAAAGCTATTAGAATTTTATGCAATTTAAAACGTAGAACTTCAGTCAAAGAACATTTCAAAAATGAAAATATTATGACTGTTTATGGAATGTATGTCTATGAAACAGTATTATCAGTAAAAGACAGATTTGATGAATTACAACTTATTGGAGACTACCACAATTACTTTACTAGAAATCAAGAGAATCTGGCCACTAGCTCTCATACTCTGCAACTTTTCACGAAAACACCTAAGTATGCTGGTTCAAAATTTTATAATAAACTTCCTAAAGAAATCAAATTGGAAACCTCAAAAAATAAATTTAAATCAAAATTGAAAAAGTTTCTTATCAACAAGGCTATGTACTCCTTTGAAGAGTTTTAGTTCCATAAGTTATATTGCTTTATTTCATAAGTTGAAACTTTTGGTTTTAAAATAATTTTATCTATTATTTTAATTTTGATATTTTCATGTTTAAACTTTTATATTGCACTGCTTGTTTTACTTTATTTGAGCTGAAAGAATGTTCATATGGATGTTATGTTGTTACGCCATGCTTGATAGTTATGAGTATTTTAGTTAAGTTAGATTTGTTAAATTACTCTTGACGCCATTCCTGTATCTATGTATTGTACTTTAATGAATAAAGTTATATGAAATGAAATGAAAGCTCAATTAGCGAATCTTGTGAGAATTATCCTGAGCTGATTGTCCTAGTTACTCACTGGCGGGCGGGGGGTTGACAGGGGCTTGTTCCTGCGGAGGATGCCCCGCAGTGGGGGAAACACCAGGCGGCTGCATCACATTAGGCACACCTCCAGCAGCCATCCTGAGACACATATCTCATTTATTCAACATTTCAGATACAAAGTTGCAAGGAATAATCTATGTACAGAAACTTTATGCCAGCAAGAATCCATCGAAAGAGTAAACCTCCTTTAGACAGATTTCTGGTAAACAATTTACACAAAAACATACACAATTGATATCAATTTACTGTGTTAACCACTTTCATTGCATGTGCCCCACTTTTCTTGTTTTAAAAATTTCAAGTATTTATTCTCTCCACAAATTTATAAATTATAGTATTTTCAACTTTTTAGTGTGTTTAAAAACGTAGTATTTTAAAAAGTTTTTTTTTATTTATAAAATATTTTAATTTTAATGTTCTTGAGGATTTTGTTAACTGATTTTTTAGACTTTGGATGGATTATCAACTTACTAAAAGATCAAATTGATTGTATCAACAAAGAATGGTTCTTATTTAATTATTTAAAGCCAAAGCATCAAGAGGAACATAACCAAACTTACATTTTCAATTACTACGCAAAAACCTCATTACAACAACTGAAAGCTACTTAGGAGACTAATATGGCTCTACAGTACTAAGCTTGGGATTTTTGTTGACCAGTATTGTTGGTATATTGGACCGTTAGACCTTGCGGGTGTGTCTAGAGACAGCAAGTGTGGTAGGTCTGCAAAGCAACTCATAAGGAGTTCATCAGTTTGTGGCAGAGCCCACCCAAGCAGTGGATGCCAGATGAGTAGACTCTTTGCAAATTTTCACTCAAACTAGGTATACTAGGCCAAATTTCATCCATCTTTGTTGTGTGTATATCCACCATACATGTTTGAAAGAGTTTAGATTTATATGTCCAAAGGATCGGGAAAATAAAAAGAAACCTCTGGGTCTCAAAGGGTTCAGGACATTCTGAGATCCGGGATCAGGGGATCTGGGGTTGTGTGTTGGTAAAATGATGTTATTGATCAGTACTGAGCACATTGTTGATCAGTACTGAACACATTGTTGATCAGTACTGAACACATTACTGATCAGTACTGAACACATTGCTGATAAGTACTGAACACATTGCTTATCAGTACTGAACACATTACTGATCAGTACTGAACACATTACTGATCAGTACTGAACACATTACTGATCAGTACTGAACACATTGCTGATCAGTACTGAACACATTGCTGATCAGTACTGAACACATTGCTTATCAGTACTGAACACATTACTGATCAGTACTGAACACATTACTGATCAGTGCTGAACACATTACTGATCAGTACTGAACACATTGCTGATTAGTACTGAACACATTACTTATCAGTACTGAACACATTACTGATCAATACTGAACACATTACTTATGAGTACTGAACACATTACTGATCAGTACTGAACACATTGCTGCTCAGTACTGAACACATTACTGATCAGTACTGAACACATTACTGATCAGTACTGAACACATTGCTGCTCAGTACTGAACACATTACTTATCAGTACTGAACACATTGCTGATCAGTACTGAACACATTACTTATCAGTACTGAACACATTACTTATGAGTATTGATCACATTACTGATCAGTACTGAACAACATTAACATTAAAATTGAATCGAAAAATTTGTTAACAAGTCAAGAGGTAATGAGTGCTGTTTACACTTACTGCAGCTGTGTTAACACATGTTGAAAAACAACACCATGAACAACCTTGGAGTAGATTAATTTTACCTTTGTTTACGTAGATAATAATGCCCTTTTGACATTGTGTTTGTATTGAATAAATAAATCAAATTGAAGATAAAAGTATTTCCTTAATATCAAGTTTACTTATAGTTTCAGATGCATACTAGTTTTAGATTTTTAAAAAATACACCTCACTGTGGAAAACAGACTATAAGGACCGAGCCACTTCTTTGAAGTTTGAATAAAAATGATGCTGCTTGAATGCAAAATTGTTTCTCATTTGCAATGTGAAATATTTTTCTGTAATATGTGTACATTCGACAAGCTATAATTTATTTTAAGGCTGCCCATTTTAGATTATATCGAAATAACAAAGGGGGTTTCGCGTAAAGCAGTCTACTCGACACAAGCATCACCAATAAACCTGTACCACTTTTTTAAATCTGAAAGAACTGTAATGAGAATTGTATCCAATGATGTAATGCAACTAGCAGATCTTTCAGAGGTTAAATCGCTTATTGCTGTGTCTTTATGTCGCTTCATTACACTATATTCTTTAACAATGTCAATTCAAACAATTTTATACTAACTTGTGATAAACTTTTATAATATTACAATTTCAATTTGGCTACGGTATGATAAAAATATTAAAAAGCTTCCATCATTCAAGATTACTCTTAAAAAGTATTTTGAAGATAATATTTTTGACTCCTAAAAAGCTGTTTGTTAAATTTAATTTTTTTATTTACTGGTTTTGTATAGGGGAAAAATCAATATTTCAAAGAAATGAAAAAAACCTTGACACAATATGGATAAGAACCCACATACCGAATTTCATCAAAATCGGACCACAGGTATGGTCTGTAACTCTCGACACATCCACACACACACACACGATATACAATCACTTTGAAAACCACGTTTTGGGTTCAGGGGGCCCAAAACTGAAATATCCAAAAACAAAATATTTTGACGAAAACAATACTTTCTCCATTAAATTAAGTTTTGGGGGAAGAAAGTAAAAATGTTTATTAAGAAATTTGATAGTTTTACATTTACTGAAGTTATTCTTTTGGTATGTTTTTTTTTTTGACATCATGATAAAAATCACTTGTACCGAAAGTGATTTTCTGGCACTTGCTCCAATAATTCCCGTCCTTGACTTCTCCTAACACGTGTACACTTTTGGTACAAGTAATGAAATATACCCTGCTTTGCTTCTACTGTCACACTTGACCATACTCACAGTTGCATGTATTGTGTCATGTACTGTGCATATGCCTGCTGCATCCAAGCCATCTGTTGAGCCATAGTGGCGCTGTCATAGGAGACTCCCCCTACAGGTGGCCAAGCGGGGGGTGTATAGCCGGGGGGCCACTGTGGCTGGGGCGGTAGAGTGGGCACTCTGCGACGGAGGTTTTCATTACTGGGCGTCTGAAACTGTGGCTCCTGGGGTCGAGCTGTCAGGAAAAATACTATAGTTTAAAACAAGATAAATAATAGGACAAAAGCTTTATAATAAACCACAAGTAGTCGTAAAATAAATTTAAAAGTGATTTAGAATGTTTACTGAGGATAGATTTACAAAATATCACTTTAAAAGATTAAAGCTTGTAGGTTAACTCTAGTTAGTGCAAAGGTTTATTCTTAAGATAATGAAGATTTTTAGACATCACCAAGTTTTTTAAGTTCATCCAAGTTAATGCAGTTCAAAGCATGATCTGCCTAGCAGGATGAACAGCTGTTTTTTAAATTCAATTTTTTTTTCAATACACCTCGAATCATCGGATTGGGTGAATCTTTTAGCTAAGTGGTTGTTCGTGTGTCCTTGAAGTATGCAGATCACTAATGGCCGTTTTGCTACTTTTTGTTAAAATAACCTTCTTCTCTATATCCCTTACAGATTTGATAAAACAACAATATAGTGTTGCCTAGCAGTCAATCTATATATATAAAAGGCAAAGCCCTCACTGACTCACTCACTCACTCATCACTAATTCTCTTACTTCCCATTTACCTAGGAGGCTGAAATTTGGTACACTGATTCTTTAGGCATTAAATAGGAAAACTAAGCTGTTTTTATTCTGATCGGACTCTCGGACTCCGCCCCAGTTGCTCTGGAGATTCCCATGTTAACCTTATGAGTACTCATATTTGAATGGAATTAATGAATCTTAACAGCTGTTTCAATTAAACAAGTTGGTTCTGTTCTATGATGTTCAATAGCATTAAAGTTACGAGGATTACCAACAGGGTGCAGCACTATATTATTTCTTTTACATTTATGACAACAGCTAATCTGCAACCAAAAGGTGAGCGAGTGTAGCGAACGAACTTCAACCTGGAGGCGAGTTAGCGTAGCGAACGAGCTAATCTGAAGGCAAGTGAGCGCAGCGAACGAGTTCCAACCTAAAAGTGAGTGAGCGTAGCGAACGAACTTCAACCAGGACGTGATTGAGCCATGCGAACGAGCTCACTTATAAAGTTAAACGGGGCAAAGCCCGCGGGTACAGCTAGTGGGTTAATAAACTAAATTCTTCCAAAAATATGTTGTTATAAACGAATGGACATAATTATTGTCTTCTGCTATTGAGGCCAAATTTAAATTTTCTTCATCTCCCGTGATTTAGGGACATAATCAGCACAGCCTCCCGTGATTTTAGAAAAATTAAGATCATCTCCTGCAGTCACAAAGACACCATTACTGTCTATTTTGTTAGTAAGAAAAAAATATCCCAAATTTCTGAAGTCATTTGGGTACCCTGTTAGCCCCAGGGCCTTCAGCCATTGCTGGCTACCCAACCTGGCTAGACCACCTCTGATACTGAGGATTTATTGGTAATATCCCGTTCTTAATTAAAATTGTTCTATTAGGGAATATGTATAGAATTGTTTAGAAACCGTGAGTTGATTACTATGTCCATTTTACACAGAGAGTAATTAATATAGTAGTCTATTTAGGTTTTTTAGTCTTTATAATATGTTTTTGATAAAAACAAAAACATGTTTTCATTGCTGCTTCTAACTACGATGAAACAATATAGAGTAAAGTTTTTACCACTTCATCTCTGAGATATATACAAATAAGCTAATACAATCCATGACTATGAATGTCTTTGAATTAAATCAGTGACTTCCACAACTTCAGTGACTAGTGGATACCTAGCTGTATCAAGAAGGGACTGATCTAGCGAAACTAAAATTAGAGCGTTTCTGAGAATGCGTTTATTAAAAAATTTCCATTTCAATCACACAGCTACGGCATCATACTCACGGGCCTGTGTGGAGGGCATTGCCGCTGGTTTACTGCAACTCGCCGAGGGGGATCTCAATGTTTCTTTGGGCGGAGAACAGACCAAATGTACCGTGTGATTCTGTTGACCTTCGTAACTCCTCAGTACATCCTTCAGAGTGACATTGTCAGTCAGCAGTTGACCAGAGTAAATCAGCTTCTGGTCCTCTGAGCGCTGAAATAAATTGTCAACAAGTTAAAATATAAATGTTAAACAAAAACAATAACAATCATGTATGAAATAATACAACTAATAATATAAACAAAAACACAAAGCATCCAAAAGAAACAAAACATCTAAAAGCCCTTCAAGTATCAAAGACTATGTTTTAAGTTTAACCCTCGGTAAATAATAATCTGTTATGCTATGTAATACATTGGGTAGTCTACTATGAAATGTTTTTGATTTCTTTTTAAAATTAATCAACTCAAATCCTGTCTCAAGGTTTGGGGTAATGGAGAAAAAATGTGCGCCAGTGTAGGTAGGTTTCTCTTTTTTAAACAGTTCTAGATTATGGGCGGGTATTGCAATATTGTTGTATATTTCTAGTATTATAACCATGCATGTATGTTCTCTTTCCTTGAATTGGATGATCGTTTGATATAGGCTACAGTATACATTGTACATTCTGACACAAACTGTCAAATTATTCTAGGTGGAATAAAGTATTCCTTTACAGGTGTTTTTGGTTGAAGTTTTAATATAGGTCTCACATCCTTGCAAGTTATTTCAGGGGCAGATCCACAGGGACATTTCCCACCCAAACGAAGAATTTGATATCAAAATATACAATGTATTAAGTAAATAAAATTACTTTCAATTTAACAAGTGTCCATCACTTATTAATAAGTGTCATAATAGCTTAAAATTTTATGGGGAAGGCCCCCCAAACCCCCCTCTACTTAGGGGTTTCCATACCCCCTGGAAGTTCCCCCCCCCCTACAAACTTTGCTCCTGGATCTGCCCCTTAGTTATTAAGGGTTGTGAAACCATAGAAGGAAATGCCATAAGATATTATTGAATGTAGCCCTATTATTTTTAACACGGGAGTTCCAATTTAAAAGTTTTGGTCTATTGTATTGTATTTAGGCCTATAAAATTTAGTTTTGTTTTGTCCAAGATTTTTGCCATTTTTAGTTTTTTTACACTGTCCCAAAAATGTAAAAATACCCACGACAAAATTATATTGGTAAGTCTAAGTAGACCTAAACAGATAGTGAAGTTGAGGAATGAGGATGCTACAAGTTGAGTTTTTGGTTTTTACTAAAGTATTAAAATATGTTATACCGGTACTGGACATATTATTTTGCCTTAGTAGACCATTTTAACAGATTGTACCACATTTTTTTGCTTTAAATTTTTACATTACATGGTAGGCCTAAGTCATTTCTGTACATAGTAGTCAATATTATAACTTACCAATTTCTAAACTCAAGCTCAACTTTAATTTTAATACCATTCAAACTTCTGTTTCTCTTTAAATGTTTAGACAATAGCATAAAATAATTTACGATGTAGCATGAATTTAATGAAACCCACTCAATCAATGAAACTATCAATCATAAAACTAACCCATTTTTAGTTTATGTTTATTATTGGTGTTATAGGATGATAATATTGTCATTGTTAAAAATAAAATCATATGAATTTTAAAAATAGCAATTTTTGTGACAGCTGCATATCATATTTTTTTATGACTGATGATTCAAAAAATTAACTGAACTATAAAAGTAAAGGTTTCATGATACCTCTATTTACATCTCACAACATAACCAGTAATTTCCATTTTAGTAAACAATTAATGTTGTTTTCCATTTTTGCACAGATAGACTAATCAATAGCCTAATTACTAATTGTCAACTGATTTTACTATAGCCTTTGTTATCTTGCTGTCTTATCACTGAACTAGTTTGTAATCAAAACCATTGTTTCGTTATTGGTTATGTTTAGAGTTATAAAGTTTTATAGTTACCAAGTCATAACAAAACTGCCATATTTTGCAACGATTCGAGTTTTATCAATTCAAAATAATCGGTTGGCACATTACACCTAAAGTAGGCGTACATATAATTCAAGGCAAAATGCCAAGAATAAGTACAAAACTGATTAAAAACTTAAATGGTTCTTTAGAATTGACAAGCTTATTATACTTGATTAGCAAACTGGTATCTACATTAAATGATTGAGTATTTTGTAAGATTGTCTTTTTTAAATGTTTTTAACATTCAATTTGTTATTAAATAACATCAGCAATAGCATCAGCGCTAGCTTGTTCTCAATTTTGTGAATTTCCCTATAGGGAAGTAGCTATTAGGCCTACCATAGGTCTCGAGGTAAGACTTGAGCCTGGGACCGATTTACTTTTTCATTTTGATGTCCCCAGAGGCTAAAAACACTATTCGTTAAAATTTGTATACATGTATATATCAATATACCGGTATATTTGTCCGTGAACACGATAAGTTGAGTAATTTTTGTTCGATTATGATGAAATTTGGTTTTAAGGTGTAAGGCGGAATAAATTTGAATAAGTTCTTAAACCAGTATGATCAGACAATGGGCATGGGGTTTTATGGGGTAAAAATTTGTATTTCTCATTTTTGACCATCAAAACACTAAATTTTCCAATTTCTCTCTAGATCATTTTAAAGAGCTTAACAAGACAAGTAATTTAAGTATATCAGAGTGTTTTTAAACGGTTATTGGTAACGGAGAAAATTCAAAATATTGTAAATTTAAAATTCCCATGATATTTTTATGGAGAATATTGTAGGTCTAAAATGTTGTAGTTTGCTTGTTTATGAATATATTATTTTGATCAAACTTGGCAAATTTATTTATTTTATACTAAGTTATTAATATCTTACTAAAAAACACCCTCTCTGTAGCAGCAAGCCTAGGTACTAATTAAACCTAATGTTAATTAAAATTTTACACTAAGGTATTAATATTTTATTAAAACTACACTTTATTAGTTTCCTTGTAGCAGCAATCATAGTTACTTGTTAAACCTAATGTTATTTAAATAGATTTGATTGGAAATCAATTCAGACGAATGGAAATTCGCTTAGTCGGCAGGTTTGCTACGGCGGGGGTATTATCTTATTATGAGGAAGTGCTAGTGTACTAATGACTAACTACCGGTAACCAGTAATGCAAATATTAGATAAACAACCAATAATTGGGGGAAAGTTTTGGTAAAATACCTAACAAAACATGTAAGTAAAAGCATTTTTGCCAGAATAAATACCCAGATAAAATGTGGTAAAAGTTCTACTTGCAGTTTATTTTTACGGAAATATTAATTTAAGGATAGATGTACAGAGAAGAGAAATAATATTAAAATAGCCTCTACAAGATAGGCTTAACATGTCTCCAATCCTCTACATATGAGCTGAGGTGACATGACACACTGTCTAAGCCTAATAACTTAATAATTATAAATTAAAATAGCAATTTTGAATGACACTCACAACATAGCTAAGGAATACTCATGTGGAGCATAATAAATGTTGTAAATATAGGCCCTAAATAGGTATAATGATACCAGTGTGAATAAACAACCAAGAGTTATTAATATACGGGGGTTATCCATAAATGTTTTTAGCGAGCTTTACAATCGGTAGGCCCTACCTATTTAATATTGTACGCAAAAGCATGTGTTGTATCTCTTGCATCTCACTATAAACAACGAATAACGTAAACAAAACGTTGTCAAACTGCTAGCTGTGGTTTGACTTTGTTAGTGACCACTCGGACACATTCGGGCAAACCAACATCGAATTGAAAGACTGGGAAGGATGAAACAGACGATTAACTCAGGACGTTGCTAGCCAAAGTGAAACCAGGATAAAAAAACGTTAGTAGAAAGTGCAAAAGTAGCACTTTTAAGTCATCAATTGACCATATTTGAAGCAACAACTAAACAAAAGTGCCGTTGTTTAATATTTTAATGAATATTTAAAAAAAGGAGATTCCTCACTTTTTGTGGAAATCTTCTGGAGCTAAATTTTGAGTGTTAAAATCCGGTATGTAATCTCCAGCAAAATATAGTGATATGGCAAACCTATTTTTGTGGCTATCCCAAACATGTTGTCGGGAGGGACATAGGCTATGAAAATTGTGTGGTTATGATAGTCAACTTATGTTTAAACAGAGTTTTTTTTCTTCAGAAAATCTTTTAAATAAAACTGCCATGCTATTTCTAAGTATAGGAATCGTATTCTCTAAAACCGTTTACTGATTTAAGGGAAATTAATTTTTTTCTTAAAACTTCATAGGCCACACCTTTAAAACAGTAACTTGTCTAGTGTTTATTCAGAATTAGGCTTACAGAGCACTATATAACTTAGAATGCTAATTATGTAGGCCTATTGATCAATGCATTCTTAAAAACAATAGTAAGTTATGGAAATAAAAATTATAGGTTAGATAATGGCCAGTTACAATTTTAATGTAAAATCTTAAATGTAAGTTATGTAGCCTACAGTTTTCTCCCTGCATTGAGTCTGTTCCAAAATGTAACATTAATTTAGTCATCACTATTTAAAATAGCATAGGGCTAGTTAAATTTGTAAAAAAATAATTATACAAATTTTCTACTTAACCTCCCTTGTTACCTGCACGGCCTACAAACTTCTCGATATAAGTTATATATACAGTAATATATATTTAACTTACAGGTTTACTAGGATAAACTTCAGACAAGTGTCCTTTCAACATTTTGATGGTCCAATTTATTTCACATTGAATAGTTTGATCTTCTATTTGCTGATTTGGCGCTTTGACGATTAAAATCACAGACTCCTCCATGGCAAAGGATTGTTTAAGTTATTCACCTAAAAACAAAAGAATTGTTATATATTGTTATAAGCTGCTATACCCGTGCTTTGCAACGGAAAGAAAATGTGACCTAGAGAGCTATTAAAGTAATTCTGATGTGTGCTTTAATACGGCAAGTCTATGATTTAGTTTGAAAATATAAACTGATTTAAAAGTGTAAACCTACTTACTTTCAAACTCCTACTTTTTATGTTAATAGATTGAAAAGTATATGACAACATACCTTAGTGTAGCAACAGCATCAATTTCTTAATATTGATGCTTCACGAATGACATGTTTTACCATAATTCTGCAACTTTAGTCAAGCCTCTTTACATGTAGCTTACTATATAAATTACAAAATGAAACTTGAGCAACACTTAAGCAAACGTATACAACCTTTCTTTAAAACCAAACATAACCCTCCTAAATCTACATAAAGCATTACACTTTTTCGAGTAAATAAACAAACATCAGTCATTGTACTGACCAGCTGTTTCATTAACTAAATTAAATTCAACTTTGGAAGCATGCCAGGCGTAGCCCTTTGGAAATCAGCCTGTGAGGCAGAGCCCTTAGGAAATTCATCCATATCAATACTTTTCGGCAAATCTACACACTCTAAGCTTCATTTTGATGTGACGTATGCCTATATTTTTATTTGGTAAATGGCCTTAACCGTTTACATAAAATTTTATTGTATCACTTTAATAATATAATAGATAACAATTGTTAATAGGCTAGCCTATATTAAATATAGCATGCAAAATACAAGATTATGTATAGGGCCTAGCCTAAGTAGTGATAATTTTTACACGGATATAATTAGGTAATAAGTTTGCGATTATTATTATTATTTTTTTTACAGAGGGCCAGGCTTACAAGTTACCATGGGATTGCATCGCAGCTAGAACAGCTTATTGTGCACCCTCGTTCACAGGTCCTCATTCTCCGTCAAATCCCAGGTCCTTGGTGAACCGTGAGATCCTTTTGACTATGGTAACCTGTTTTTCCCTTTGATCTCCCATCAATAGGCCAAGGGATCTCATACGCAGACCTTGTAGGGCTGGGCACATAAATATACCTTCACAGCTTTCACAAGGTCTCTGGCTGGGGCAAGCCGTAGCGAGATTTCCCTGAAAGGACTCAGCTCCTGAACTTGCTTGACCAGCCAATCCTTTGTGGCTGGAGGCTTCAGTTTGCGATTATGGTAAGTTGAGCAGTTGAGTTGTGCCAACCGTCAACAGCCTGACACACAATATCCCTAAAGAGAACATCTCTTTTCAAGAAATCTCAAATTTTTTGTGGATTTAGCAAAACTGCACCTTTTAGGGACACTGGGACTAAAAATACACCCAGTGACGGCTGCACTTTAGTATCTGTCCTACACTCATTCGAATGAAAGATATTGATAATATATATTTATATAGGTATATATATATATATATATATATATATGATATTGATATTAAATACGGAATAATTACCAACTTAAGTTATAAAGATTATTCAATAATATTCATTATTTCATTTGGTTAGGCCTAGTTAGGTTAAGGTTAACCTAACTAACCAAACGATATATAAAAATGAAATTAATCGATATATCGATCGATATATTCATTCGAATAAGTTTAGGACAGATACTAAAGTGCAGCCCGAGTGACAGTCCTGGTTTCCCGGATTGTATGGCAACCTTAGGCCTAAGGCCTATTAAAAAAACATTGTACTTACGGTATGTCATTTAGGCCTACCTACTCACACTCTACAATAGGCTGGAGAAGACTTAAGACAGAACCAAAACCAACAATAAGTTAACCATTTCTAGAGTTAAATTAACTTACTTAGTCAAACAAAACCAGAAGGTCATCGAGTTAGTTGGCTAGGCTAACATACTGATGTTTTTGAAAGGGTATATTAAGTTAATTACCAACTTAAGGTTGCCCTTAGGCTTAAGGTGTTTAACAATTGTGAAAAACAAAAGTAAATAAGCAAAGTAATAAGCTTATAAGATGTGCATATGTTAATCAAGACATTCTTAATAGAATGAATTTGAATCAAAGGATCCATGATGTTCCCACCCAGTTGAACACGAATTCAACCAAATAAACAGTCGATGATAGGCCTAGGTCTACGAGCAAAATACTTAACTTACTTACCGAGCTAGATCAATCCTTTTCAGTATTTTAATAATATAAAGCAATTATTAGTATTACTACGAGAGAGCTAAACACTTTGGCGTCAAACGAATCACAGTATATTAATATTATCACTTCCAACAACTTCCAGACGTCACTTAGTACACCATTTTCTAACAACACCGACCAAGGAGAGAAAACTGAAAACACAAACAGTTCTAAATGACATTCTGACGATTTTCTTACTTCATTATCATCAGCAGACATGAAATTAGATGGATGATGGATGATGTTTTGGCCGCACGTGATTGGTTCGTGATCACCCAAATCCACTACTAGAAATCCCATTGGCCAATTCTCCTCAACACTCTACACAGAACAGAACAGAGCCAGTGAGTGTTAGTGTAGGTTTTTTTTGTGAACACAAACAGCTGTTAAGTTGCAATGCAGTAATCGTCTGCTAGCTATATTTTTCCATTTTGTCAGCTGATTAGTTTAAAGGTTATGTTAGGTGTTGTCTTGTCAAGAAGTAGACTAGAAAGCAAGAATGCAGATCTGAGATCAAGAGAAAGTGTAAATATTAGTTTCTAGGCTTAAAATATAATCGATTTTGCATAGTTTCAGTGACAAGTGTTTCGTTGTTTCTCAAATTTAACTCATAAATCAATAAATAATTTATTTGACTAGATTAACATGAATGCCTTGGCTATGTAAGAATATATAAAATACAACTTGTATTAAAAACTAGAAAACATTAACTTAAATTTCGACCTTTTGTACATGCAAGGAAAAACATGAGCAGATGGAAAGAAGCTTCTTCTTTAATAATAACTACTGCATCCAAAAGTAAAGTAGGTAAAAAATCTCCCATCACTCCTAATCATGAGAAATATAATTTTGATATTTTAGCATTGAAAAAGAATGAAACATTGCCATCTGGAAATCCTCAGATCTGTGTTTTCCCTGGAGGTTCACTTAGTATTGCAGACTCAATTCAAGATTGGGAAGGCTTATTTACTGAGTTTGGTCTTAGTTTAAAATGTATGGGTAATGGATCAAGGCTTCCTATATTTAGTTCAAATAGGGAAGGTGTTCCAAGGTGGCTGTCACTAAAGATTACTGCAATCAGAGAGACTTTTGAGGAATGTGGTCTTTTACTATGTAAAAGTATAGGTCAATTGCCATCAGAAGCAACTGATAATGTTTTGGCCAAAAGTACGAACCATTTAGCCATAGATAAAATTGATTCATGGAGACAACGAGTCCTAGAAGATCCATATCAGTTTTTCTCTTTATGTGAAAGTTGTAAATGCTATCCAGATGTTGAAAACTTGGTTCTTTGGAGCAATTGGCTCACTCCAAGCCATATGAATGAACGATTTGACGCCGTTTTCTATTTTACTCATTTGAGAAATTTGAATTTAGCTAATGTGACTCCTGACAACAAAGAAATATCATCAGCCGAGGTAAATATATATTATATTTTTTTTATAAAACATTAACCTATTTTTTTATCTACCTACAGTATTTTATTTTAAACATTTGTTCAAAATAATCAAGCTAAACAAGTATAAGAAGGTTTTTTTTAGGCAAGGCTATTGTTTAGCAAAACACCCGAGGGTTAAAGGATGTTGGTATAACCCCACCAGTACTCTTGCCGGCATTTGCAGTGAACATGAGATCCATGTTATAGTGAACAGGGCTGTTCTGATCACTTTAGTTATTCTAACATAATTCATGGCCAGGAATTACCCGTACACTGTAAAATATACCTATTTCATTGGCTTTTACCATAATATAATACCATTGACTATATAACACTAGTGTTATATAGTCAGTGATAATAACCTAATAATAATGCTCTGTTTTAGTGGCTCTCCCCAAAAGAACTGCTTGACCTGTCTAACAGAGGAGATATTTTTCTAAAGCCACCTCAGTGGTATGAGATAAACTCTCTACAAAGTATAGAAACCTTCGATGGTCTAAATCGACTGATCGGTCACAAAAGTAGTAACTGCCATTTATGGATGCCAGTAAGGATACATGCAAGTGATGGAGAAATTTCTTTGCTTCCAGGTAATTTTTAATGATATTACCTTAAGTATAGGTACATGTTTTCTTTTTTGGTGAGAGAAATATATTTTTTGTTCTGTAGCACATTTTACAGTGCTTCAGTATTTGTTTATTTTTTTATATAGGTACTGAACACACAGGCCTACAAGCTGTTTTTTTTTCATAAAAGGTACATTTTTCATTAGCCCTAAACCAGGGGTTCCCAACTGACCCAGAATAGCATCATCTCCCTTGATATTAAATAAATAAATCTTTATTGTCACATAACATTTAAATATAATATAATATTAAGTTTAGGCCCTATTTAATTTAATATGGACTTTATTAATCTGGATTGCTTGAATCTCAATTTTACCAGATTAACTACTAATTTGAAGCCAGAACCACTTGGGCTATGTGGTGTTGAACAATTCCATGCACAATCAATATTCTAAATCAACTTCAAGAAATATTTCATATTGGAGGACATTTTTTAAAACGTTTTATTAGCTCGCTTTCTTGTCTGTTCAGTACAAATTTTGCAATTGATTTTAAACCAACTTCCCGATGAGCTTTTAAAATATCACGTTTTCAAATGCACTAAAAAGTATAAAATAATTTAGAAATATAAGAAGAGGAAGAGGGGTTTGTGACTGTGGGGATTTCCCCACTTCTTGAAGAGCTTCGACTTCTTCTGATGTCATGGCTCATGGACTGGGTCGGGCCATCTGCCCTGGTAGCTCAGCTACCTGTCAGTGCTTGTTGGTTGAGGTAATTTAGTCTATCATCTGAGGGCAGAGTCGTGGAGTTGGTTGCTGGAGGAGATCCCTGATGTGGTCCCACAACGTCACGTCTGCTGTCTGTTGGAGTTGTGCTGTCTGGATGTCAACGAGCTGTCTGATGGTCGGGATCTGGGCTTGGAAATATGTGGACAGAATAAATACTTTTACATGATTTAAAACGAAAAATGTTCAGCGCGTGCAATAAAATAATAAAGATAATAATATAGAGGGGATATTCGTAAATAAGCTATTTTATGCACCAAGCGTTTTTTGTTTTAAATCTTACAAGTATTATTCTCTCCACATATTTCTAAATGATTTTATACTTTATAGTGCGTTTAAAAGCGTGGTATTTAAAAAAAAGTTATTTTACTTATAAATTTCTTTTGTGCATAATATACATAGATTATTGAAAGTTTGTTTTCTATTCCAGGAGATGATATGTATCCTGATGATGTTGACCCGTTCTTCCCCACTCCAATATTAAGGAAGGGACAGACAATATCTTCATTGAGGTGTAAGAAGATGCACAGAATGGAACACTTTGGTCCAAGGATTGAGATCTTAGACACTAGGTCAGACTCTGGATCTGTCTGATTTCATAAATTCTTTACTTTATTCTGAGTCTAAAAGCTGTTCTTTCAGCTTCTTGGCCGTTGTATGATGGAACGCCATTACTTCAGGTTTTGGATGCGCCAGTACTAACAACATATCTGTGATTACTACATATTTGTAAATTGAAAAGGTGAAAATATCATGTGACTAAGGGTGCGCTCTACCTCAGCTCAGATTTCTAAGTACGATTGCTTAACCTGATGTTCCTATACTTTGCACTGAACAGCTCCTGAAGAGCGCTTGCAAGCTTTTTGAATCTGGGGGATTACATCATTATCCTTAAAAATTTTGGTAAACCAATAATTGCAGATTCTTGTTTTTAAGAATCTATTGCACTTCCCCCGTCCGTTATTTTATTCTCTAAAAATTATTTGTATGTGTTAAAACTCATGATAAAAACGTGTATTTTAACATTTTTACCAACCTTTTAGCCCAACATAAAAATAAAATCTAAATTTAAAAAAGCGCTGGACCTACAATAATATTTAACAAAAATATGACACCAAGATCTTTTAAATTGGGACTACAAACAGTAAGAACCAAAACCCTTGCACTTGGGTGCCAGACAGGTAGAGCGCAGCCTTAACTCTGTCAACTGTTTAATGATTTAGGCTTGAAATACAAATAGATGACATAGGTGTATTTTTCAATTCAAATTAGGAACACAATTCCTAGAATGTTCTAAAAAATATTTACTAAATTTCTAGTATCCTTATAATAGACCTTAAAAAATAGCCGTTGTCTTGTTTTATTTCTAATAATCTTTTTAAGCCAATGATTTATAATGCTTCTCAATACTTCAGATTACAGATGCAGATAGATAGATTTCTCGGACTTTGATATTCACAGATAAGTAGTGGATATATTTTAGTACCATATTATTTTTATGTTTTAAAAACTTTGTACACACTTGCTTACAAATAAGTCGTTTGTTTTTTTAAGTAATGTATCGTAAAATTGTGTGAACAATTAAATTTTAATTTGTTCATTTTGCAATTTTTTGCTTGTCCTAAGCCACTTTTAATCCTGTTAGGTTACGATAGTGGCCATTAACACATGACAGACTTTTGAAGATTACTTTAATTGACACTATTCAATGTACCAAGCATGTACAGATGACGAATAAAGATATTTTGATTTGATTTGATTATGTTTGTTTAAAAAATTCTAAGGTGATTATTTCCAAATGTTAAGCTTTGTTTTTATTAGCGAATTTCCCATATAGGGAATAAGCTATTACCGTAGTACTCATGGTAAGACCTGGACCCGGGACCAATTTTTTTTTTCGTTTTGAGGTCCCTAGAGGCCAAAAATACCATCCGTTCAAATTCATATATATATATATACCTATTTATATATATATATATATATTTATATATATATATATATGTGTCCGTTAGCGCGATAACTCGAGCAAAAATGATCCGATTTTGATGAAATTTGGTACAAACGTGTAAACCTACGTTTATTCGAACGAGTTCGCGAACCAGCATGATCGGACCATGGGAACGGGGGTTTATGGGGGCTTTTATGGGGTAAAAATGGGTTTTTCCCATTTTTGACCCAAAAAACATAGAATTTTGCAAATTATTTCTAAACTATTTTGTAGAGCTTAAAAAAACAAATAATTTAGTATATTGAAGCATTATAATGCGCCTAATGGTTACGGAGAAAATTCCAAAAAATTGTAAATTTAAAATTCTCATGTTATTCTTATGGAGAATAAGTAAACTGTTGTAGTTTGCTTGTTTATTAACATATTTTGCCCAAATTTGGAAAATGTTTTTATTTCTTACTAACTATTGACATTTTACATAAAAAACACTTTTACCCCCATGTTGCAGCAAACCTAAGTATGTGTTAAACTGATTCTATTTAAATAGGGAATAAATGCGATATTTTTAAGGAGACAATTTAGTGTAAATCCAATCAGGCAATTGGAAATTCGCTTAGTCTGCAGGTTTGCTGCGGCGGGGGTATTTAAAAGGAACTCATGTAACTGCAAATAAAGGCTCCAGATTTTAAGTTGTTGCCGTCTCCTAGTCAAAAATTTGTTTGTTTTAGAAAATTTTAAAATAAATTAAAGCAAAACAGTTTTTTTTTTCATTATTCAGCATTATAGAACCGGAACTCTGCCTTGCGACAGTAATATGGTAAAGTAAAATAGTGTGGGAATATGCTTGTGTGTAATATTTTTTAACCACAGTATACAAATTTTATAACATTTAAACTTGGACAATTACAACTAAGTTTGTTGATAGTGTTATCTCCCAATACTTGGCTCAAAATACCTATGTCTCACCGTTTCTAGTATTTATATACTTTATGACCTACACCGCATCACGGTCAAGGTCGAGCTTCTTGGCGTGGAGAATACCCTGGATGTAATGTGACACACAGGTAAATTGTCCTCACCCTCCGTCATCATTGGTATGACTCTGTCCACCTACAGCAGTCCTACTAACTTTTGAGCCTCCAGGCGGGGCCTTTCCCAACGCTGGCAGTGGGTATGTTCCACGTCATCGGGTATGCCTGACGAAAACCCATTATCATTGGAAATAAAAGTATTCAATAAACTCACATTTCAATTAAGAAGCGAACAATTATTTAAAAACTTTAAAAAAATATCATTTTAGAAAAAATTATATTTTGAAAAATACTCCATTATCCAAAAAGATTTGATAAATTAAATTCTTTTAAATAGTAATTTTGTATGATTGCTTTATCATCTTTGAATTTCAAAATGTTATTATACTATTAAAGCATAAGTTATTTCTCGTTGAGGTTAAAAACTACCTTCGAATTTGTTTAATTTTTATTGTTACATTGTTATGATTGTTCACAGTTCCCATTATGAAGTAATGATCAAATGTATATACCTAACCAATGAATATTATTTTGTGCATTTAAAACTTCCTGGAGCATGTTACTGTCATCATATGTTCAAAAAAGTTTACCAATTCATAATATTTACAACCAAGTACTACAGTTATTATGATCCAAATTATTTTGAGGCTTTTTTTGTGGACTAAATCTAAAAGTGTATAAGCACCAATCCAATTTCTTAGATTAAATCAATGTAAAATTTAATGCTGTGATACAAGAGACAGAATAGTAAGATGGTGTTTCTTTTTTCACACAGTCAAAGCCATTCCTTAATTGATGAAGAAAAGCTATGTTTGCAAGTTTTGCTGGTGACCTTCGCGATATGCTTCATTTATTTAGTTACCAGATCTATGAGATTTGTTGAGGAACAATTTGACAAAACTTCTAAGAAGATCACCAAATTAAGGGCCAGAACGAGTGACGTGTTGAAGCATCAGCAGCCAATTTGTGAAAATATTCTACATTACAATCTGGCCAGGTACCGTCATAATATTATAGCCAGTTACCTCAAAGATTTACTAGATGATAATCAAAACAGTTCTGACAAGTTATCAAATCTTTATCAATGTTATCCTCAAAAGGTACAACATAAACAAAAGTTAAGCTATGAAGCAAATTGCTCACAGATGTTTGATTTGATTTCAAAAATCAGTAACCAAAAACCTTTAAGGAAAGATGTGTCTGCCAATAAGAGTAGTTTACTAATCAACACCAATAAACAGGGAATTACAAGTAGTCAACACTGCCTGGAAAATAACGCGGTGAAAGGCAAACAAGATGAACTGATGAACTGCCAACTATCGAAGCTTTGTAAAACACTGGAAGGTCCCAAAAGATATTCTTTTTTTGAAGAACAGGAATCAAAAATACCAAAAAGGAGCGTAGATTTTAAGAATAGCAAAGAGAGATTTCACAAGAACTTTACAGTTTATACAGCTCTTATTAATGCTCAGCCAACATTTAGAATAAAATCCCAAATTAAACAATCTAAACTAGCTATTCAAAAAACAAAGCTAGCTAACCTAATTATCAAAAAGAGAAGTAAAAAACTTCCTGAGATGACCTTATCTTCTACTCCAGCAGTGATCTTAGGCGAGGATAATAAAAAACTAATTAAACGTCCAAAAACATGCTTTGAACATCAAGATTTCCATGAAATTTCCAATAACTCAGAGAATTATTCTAACTTAAGTTCCACACGAGAAACTGACTGTGATTCAGATATTAGCAATGACCTATCTTCTCAGGGGTCGTTCTGTGATGTACTGAGTCTACAAAACATTCCTCTAACAACCATAAATGAGGAATCAGCAGAAGAGAATTGTCCCTCGGAATAAATTAATATGTAAAAACCATCTTTGTTTGCTTTGATTTGTTTAGCCTACACAAAATTGTAAATTCAAAAATTCTGTTAAATAAAGTTCTTACACATTGTCATATTTTTGTTAATTTAGTTGGGGTTGGATCAAATACAGTCGTTTGATTTGTATGCCAAACTAGTTGCAAGGCAAGGGTTATGAGAATTTTCTCATAGCTACTAGCGAATACGAATAGTAGTGCTGGTTGCAGTAGCGCCAGTCAAATTTTTTAAGCGACCGGCGCTACTAATTGGGACCGACAGGATTGATTTATTTAGTGTCTTATATAACTTAGAGTTAGTCATTTACTACCACAAAGTCTTCTTTCTACATCAATTACAATCCCATAACACCCCCGCCACAGCACAGCTCCAGCCTAAGCGAATTTCCATTTGTGTGGCTTTATTTTCAATTAAATCTAATTCAATAACATTAGGTTTAACGAGTAGGTTATGCTGCTTCAGGGAGGGTTACGAAGTGTGATTTTAGGAAAATACTATTAGCTTAGTATAGAATTAATAAATTTGCCAAGTTTGATAAAAATATATTCATAAATATTTAAAGGAATTAAAGAATTTTGTCAGCTGTTTCAACTGCACAAGTTAGTTCTATGATATTAAATAGCATTAACACGTTCGCTACTGCAATAGTACGAAATTTTCCATTCACATGGACCAGCGACGCACATATGCAACGGCCGGTTTCCACCCACAGACTGCCGTCGCATATATGCGACGGCTAGTCACATTAAAATAGACTGCCGACGCATATTTGCGTCGGGGTTCTAATGTTATTAAAATGCTTATATCTTTGTAGTGGTCTATTTGAAGGCACTGAATTCCCTGCAGTGGTCTACAGAGATGTCTGACGCACAACTGCGTCGCTAGGTCTGTGGATATGATGATTGGTGACGTCATATAATAGTTGGAAAAACTGGTCTTTACTTTTCCACATCACTGTATGTATGTATGCAGCATGTATGCTGCATTATCCTATGTAGCTTTTATATTTATTCAGTTATAAACTGTTCTTGAATCATCTGTTTATTTTTTTACTTACTTTAACCATAAAACACAAAAAAATGAACTGTCGCATATATGCGACGTTTAGTCTATTTCAAGAAAACTATGATAATTTTCACTATTGTCTTCGCTGTAGACCGGGCGTCGCAAATATGCGACATTACTAAAGGTTATAAAAAATACAAAAAAAAAACAAGAATAATTTATTTACAAACACGATTGTAGCGTATTACAATGTAAATGATCACTGTTTTACAGGTTTTCGCCCGTGGTCTGTGTGTACTGTTATCCAAGTAACAGCCGGTCTATGTGTAAGATTCAAATGTATACCTCGGTCTGTGGCAATGACCGCGGCGTCGCATATATGCGACGCTCAGTAGCGAACGTGTTAACAGGTTTTAAGGTTTACCTACAGAGTGCAGCACTATTATTTTTTTCATTTATGACAACAGCTAATTTGAACCAAATAGCAACAAAAAGCTATGGTACACAATGAGACCTTTACTTTTTTCTATGGTTCAAGGGCAATGGTAGAACAAAAGAACCAAACTTTCTTAAACCATGTCCTCACCCATAACTGCAATAAGCATTTGATAATTATATGCCAACTCCGTACGAAGGACGGGTACTCTGCTAGTACTGCATACCACACAGTTGGTCACCTCCTCAACTTAGTTGTGGTGTAAATAGAAACTTCTGTGCAGGGCCGCCGAGAGAAATTCTAGGCCCCTGTGCAAATTGCAACTCGGGCAAATACTCATTGCATTGATACTTAAGGAATTAAGAATATTTACAGTGGTAAATCTTTATATCTTTCAAACAATAATGTGTGTAAAAACAATGGAGATAACCAATTAAAATTAGAAAATGTGCACTGCTATGACTCAAGAAATAAAAACGATTTTGTACTCAATCACCACAGAACTAGTCTATATTAAAAACAACTTGCATATGCTGGAATAAAATTTTACACAACTTACTACATTAAATTACAATTTTAACAGATCCTATTTTTTTTTTTAAGAACATTAAACAACTTCTTTCTAGATCATCCAGTACACTCAAATATAAACCAGAATATCCTTATATATAATACGTGAAGGCGATTTCTACGAAACACTACTCCTCCGTTAATAATGGACGGATTTTTACAAACGATGTGTCAAAATGAAGTATTGTTCGTGTAGATGCCCCCTTTCACCAATTCCTGTAATAAAAGTCATCGGGCTTTGCCCCACAGGCCATCAAAATCCCAATGTACTTCTTATGGATAAAAGATTTTGTTTACTTAAACCGGCGAATAGTTTGTATTAAATTACAGCTGTTCATAGTAAACACATGATCACACAAGAGCGTTCGTTTTCAGTTTCGATAACTGGAGTGGAGTGATTGATTACATTATCTTTGAGTTGACTCTTTTAAATCATCGGAAATTATGACTGTTATTGGTTTTTAAATAACCGACTTTGCAATTGCTCGAATTCGAGCAACAGTTGCACTAGTTGTATACATTATTTGGTTACTAACTTAGATAGTCAGATAACTTGTTTTATTTTTTCTAGATAATATTTTGCAATTCCTTTTTACTTTTGGCACTTTAAACATTAAGCAATTATACACTGAGTAGTATAAATTCGTGTTTAGTTTTAGTCATTTAGTTAGTTTTAGTCTTGTTGCCATTCATGTAAAAAAAAATTATATTGAATAAAGTGAATTTGAATCTTGACTAGGATAGTGTAATAAGTTTTTATTCTTATAATAAATCGTTAAAAGAAAGCTACCTTAATTGAGTTTCACTAAAGCGTTGAGCAGTTGCAGACGCTAAAAAAAATGAGTCGGTGGACATGAAAGTGGCGACACGAGCATTGACCCAGCTCAGACTCTCCCCCCTGGTGAAAACTAAACGAAACAACCTCTTCCCATTTAGAATATCTCAACAAGCAAATACGCAAATTGTTTAGAATGCGGGGTGTCAAGTTCATGTTCATGTTTATTCGCACATAATATACAGAGTTTACAGGTAAATGTACAGGTGCTTCGTCATCATAACATTTTAAAATAGTCCTTTCTTAAAGGTCCTTCTTATAGGTCCTTTCCCAAACTGGTGGGAAAACTCACCACCAGGAAATAAGTTGTGCGGTGCCGCACGAAATTGAGAAAAGAAGGAAAACAAAGACAGTGAACTAGGGACAGAAGTTGATCAGGCTTCTGGACCCAAAACACTTTCCACACAAACAAAGAGTACATACGGAGCTCCCCAATGAGGCTTTAGAAACAAAAAAATGAGCTTTTCTAAAAACCTTACTGGAATTGGGATCGCCCAACTGGTCAGTCACCGGAGGGAGAAACCTCAAGATGCGGTGGGGACATGTCCACTGATAACACAACTTGACGGCTCTTTTGTCCACAGCCGAACTGACTGGATGAGCCCTACAAAACACAAGATCCCCACCTGGAAAGGGTTAGCCACAAGACCTCGATTGTACTTCCTCCTCACTAACTCCCTAGCCCTAATGAGATTACGTCTGGCAGCTGCCCAAGTATCTTTCACCTTAGGAGTGCCAGGCGATGGCAGGTCACCGATTTTCCAAACATTTGCCAACGAATTGTTTGGTGGAAAACTAAACAGTAACTCAAAAGGGACCGCCTTGTGACTCTCATGGTGAGCAGTATGTATTGAAAGCAAACTGGATCCAGAGAAGCTCTTCATTCCAGGTGGTCTGTTTCTCAGCATGGAAAGCGAGGAGGGCAGAACTAAGATTTCTGTTGAACCCTTCAGCATGTGAGGGCTGTGGGTAGTTTGGGGAAGTAGTCACATGGCAGATACGGTGCCAAAAGCACAACCTTTTGAAAATGTGGGACAAACTGGGTTTCATTGTCCGAAACTATGGTGGCGGGTATTCCGAAATGTTGAAAGAAATGGGTTCGGAGCACCTGAGCCAAGAGAGCATTGACCCGGCTCAGCGTATAGCTCACAAAATGTTATGGAGGAATAGGCAGGCATCCAACATAATTGTAGACTTGTTTAATTTTTTTATTTTGATCCGGGAAGAACCATTGTAGGGTTAACAAAACAAATATTTTGTCTTTCCAACTTTCTGACCTTAAAAAAATTTTGATTGTTATTTATTATTAAAATTATTTTAGTAGCATTGGGTTACTATAGCATAACGGGCCCATCTAACCAAGCTAAATATGGCTAAAACTTAAAATTACGCTGCATTGTAAAATAATAACAGAGTATGTAATTTACTTGTAAAATAAATCAAAGATAAAATTAGTTGGAATTTTCCGGGCCAAATAGTAACCAGCGATTTACCTCTGATCAATTAAATCCATCATCATCAATCATCTACTTCGTCTGCTTTAATCTTTTAACATTCTTTCTCCCCAAACAAGAGGTGAGGCTCTGCACTGCGCCTTGACTTGCAAGGCACTGGGCCTTGCACTTTATTGCCTACCCATACCGTAATTATTCATGGAACCATTTCAGTTGACCCGCGTTCCGATTAACCCAATTTTAAATAACCAGGATTTTAATGAACAGCTCGTATAGTTACTATCAACTGAGGTAAAATGGTCAACCACCAAAGGAATAAAATAACTCAAATTAGTGTCCACCTGAAATTTATATCAAAATACAATACATCATCTCATCTTATTTACAAAAAAATAGGTTAATTACATAATACAACTAAAACTAACATTGTCACAAAATTAAATACAAAAATGATCAGTGTAGATATATTGTAGAGACTAGAACATGATGGGCTTGTCCTGAGTTTGCCCGATGACGTAACCGGTGAACCGTTTGAGGAACTTTGGGTACTCTCGCTTGTAAACAGCGCGAAGAGCTGAGGCTGGCACCCATCCACCGGGGTTAACTGCAGGCAAAAACCAATCTCTATCAAATTCTCTCTTTTTGTGGTAACTTTGTTTTTTCACAGATTAGTAAGGTACAGAAGAAACTTACTTATGGGACGACCAAGAGCTTTCAGCTCTAGTATGTGATGGAAATATACTTGTGACGAGCAAGGAAGAGCCTGAGCGGCAAGCACTGAGTGGAAAATGGAAATTCCTATTGCACAGGGCACAGGGTCGTTCCCAGGGCACAGGCTTCACCCCCCCCACGCCATGGAGACGAGGGGGTTGGTGTTGGACTTTGCCCTAGATACTAGCGACTAGCGCGAGACAACATTACCATTGATGAATGTTTCCTCTGTACCTTACTTAACTGTAGTTTAGTTTATTTTTACTGTAGGACTGTCACTTAAATTAAATATTTTATCAGTTCTAATGAGTTAAATGAAATTTAGTTTTACCTGCTCCTTTCAACAGTGGACAAACCTAAAATGAATGGATTGAGGTAATTATACTTGCAATATCAACAAAAACAAATAAACTCAAACTGAGGACCCAACACCAGTATTGATTAAATAACTCTCAAATGATCCAAAGATGCAGATGACATTTGGTACCTACTTGTATTCGATCAAGTTTGCTAACAAGCATAAAATTAGGATTGTGGGAATGTGGTTTGATAAATAACAACGTCATCATCATCCCTATGTGGCTAAAATAGGGATTTCCCAGTTTTAGGCCAAAAACTTAAAATTTTGCAAATATAGTTCTCAATCATATTTAAGAACTTGAAAAAATGTTGATTATATGGTATGAAATGAATAAATTTGTCAAATCTGATCAAAATATATCCATCCCAAACTACAACAGACTCAATAAGAATAACATAAGATTTTTAAATGTACAGTTTTTTTTGTATTTTTCTTTGTATCCTTTAATTATACAGTAATATAAAATACATCAAATGTTAAGTTTTTTTTATGCTCAAAACGATGGTTGTAGTAAATGTTTTAAATTTATATGTTTTAAGAGTAAAAATGTGAAAAAAACAATTTTTAAACAATTTAAATACCCCATCACAACCCGTTCCCCTGGCCAATTTGAAACACGCAGTAATTTGAAGTTTTGTCGGCAAAATACTATATAATTCAAAGTCAGGGCTCCTATCATGTTATGACAGAAAACTATACATTCTGTTCCACAGTAGTTTTGGACGTTTTGATGTTTAGTTAGAGCAGTAGGTAGTTATCGTCTGGTTGACAGTGTTTGCGGTCAAGCAAAATTTTGAGGTTAGGTTCCTACCACAATTCTTACAGTATATTCATTACCAGTTATTCTATTGCATGTCATTAGATCCAAGCATAAACCCCACACAAAAATACATTTTTAACAATCCCTACCACCGAAGAATCTGAAAACGAATTATACCAGATTGAAGTATAATACTGGAACAATAAGCGGCAACTGAAACAACGTCTCATGGTAGTGACCAACCTCGCATTGGAAGTTGGAACAATAGTTTGTAAACGGTGCTTTGACGAGTGAGTATACTCGTCACGCATCGGTGGTAGAACTAGAACTCTCTGTAATTTGAATGGTTTATTTCCACCAGATAAATCAAACTCTTGATAATTATTGATTTGCTTGGCCCACCAATTTCGAAATATCAAGAGTCTACTGTATCAACAAAAAAACACTATTATTTTCCTATAGCAGCAAACATAAGTACTTATTACACCTAATGTTTTAACAGGGAATAAATTTGACATGTTTAACACGTTCAATGCAGTTGCACGATGGCCGGCCGCTGCCGGTGGCGCGAACAGCTAATGCGCTGTCTGGTTCAGTGGGTGAAAATGTTTAAATTTAGTTTAATTCAAATGAGAGGCATATACTGCGTCCCAGTCATTGTGGACGTAGTTTTACAAGAACCCAACAGATAGCAGCACTAATCAAATTAACTGCTAGCCGGCCCTCAGTATTGCCAAATGGGGGGAAAAGGTAGGGGTGAAGTACCCGGATACACCATAAAAAAATACCACAAATAAGCAGTCAAGCACAATTTTGAGGATAGGTCCCTTCCAAAATGCTTCAGAACATTCATTATCGTTATTTCATTGCATGTCATTGTCATTAGATCCAAGCCTAAACCCCTGACTACAGTATTTTTTAACAATCCCTACCACCCATAAAATAGTTGGATCTGAAAACGAATTATACCAGATTGAAGTATAAAACTGAAACAACAAGAGGCAAACGAATCAACATCTCACGTCAGTGGCTAACCTCACCTTGGAACAATAGTTTGTAAGCTTTGACAAGTTTACTCGTCCCGTGCTACTGCAGAAGGCTAGCGATATCAAGATTACTCGTCATGCGCAGTGAACGTGTTAAGGAAATATTTTAGTAAAAATCCTATCAGGCATTGGAAATTCGCTCAGCCTGCAAATTTGCTGTGGCGGGGGTATTTTTCTCTGTAATTGTCAATGTTACCTTGAGAGCAGTAGGTGATCTTGCAAGTGATGTTGTCCCTAGTGACAGATGCTCCGTCTGCAGGTGGTGTGATGATGGTTTGACACAGCATACACACAGTCAGGTGTATCCGCACATACTTGCTGCTGCTCTTCACCTGCAACACACACAAACAAGAGTGGTGGAACACTTTTGTAAATGCTAGGTGTGCGAGCCTGACTAATGGGGTGTCAAACTATCAAAATGTCCAACCATAGGGAGTATATTGGACATTTAACACACAAAGTATTCAAAACAGGAGAATAGTACAATACTTGACATACTTATCAACTTACATAGGACTTTACATTCTTTGTCTTTTTGAGTTGCTGAATAAAATAGTTTGCAATATTCAACTGTTTTTCACTTTGGATGTCAGAAAAATCATATATATTAATGGGATGATAAAAGTACTTAGTTTTTCCGGGCATGACCAAAATAAAAAGCCCCTAGTTTCTGGCCTTGTCAAACCCGTCATTGGCCGCTGCCAACATGTAATGTTATCACTGTCATTCACAAATGCGGCAAAATCCTGAAACCCCCTCACTGTCGTGGAGTTTTCGTCATTGTCTCCTGCAGTCATGAAAACGTTATCATCGTCATTCGCAATCACGGAAAAATTGTGATACAAACGCTGTCATCGTCATCTTTGCATTGTGATTTGTAGAAAAATAAAGGAAAATCCTCTCCTTGTGTACTTCCTTAATCATGTCAGATATGATCGCTATCAATACCAGTATTAAATTTAGTACCTAGTATCAAAAATCTTAAATTTGTTGCAATTTGCATTCATTACAATGTTATGATGACTACAAAACAATAACACACATCGTGTTCGACTTCAGGAGATCGTTTAAACGTGCTAAGTAGAGAGACCTTGTGTAGGTCTTGTGAGTACCTTGAGAAAGGAGAGGTAAGCTATAGAACACACAGAAAATACACAATATTTTGCCTCCTGGAGGCCTAACAAAAGATACTTGGCAAAAATATGTAATTTTGTAAATAGTGTGGTGAAAACTGGCAACATCCATTGGAGTAACTACTTTATCCAACTCTCTTTGTCTAGATAACAGTATTGTTACCTGTCCTTGGTAGTCCTTGTTCTCTTTGTCACTCAGAGAATTGTTGACAACCACCCAGATGTCACCAGCGTCTCTGTCCTGAGGGTCAGGCACTCTAGTCATATGGGACCAGAACAGTGCATCTCTCTGTGACGTAGGCCACACCCTCTTGTGTACCTGTGAGACAAACAATATAACTGATCACCGGACGCTTTATAAAGAATCTGCATTAAACGGCTTTGTATGATAGTGTATGTAGGAAGTGTGGCAGGTCTAAGGAGACTGCTAATCACCTCCTTTTCGACTGTGGAGCTCCTTAACATTTTAGGACAACTCTTGGTGATATGTTCTCTAAGTCACCTTTTTGAGGGAAGATCTTAACGGTAAATTGCAGGCATTGAGGTGCCTGGACATTGAAGAAATACATCAACTGACTAGGGCATACAACAGTCCAGCGAACCTGTATGATCCTCTTAGAGATGAGATAACACCCCCCATTTACAGCAATCTTACTAATATTATAAATGTGAAAGTTTGTGTGTTTGTTTGTTTTTTATTTGTTTGTTTGATGTTCAATCACACATTGAACTGTTTGACCCTACTGGTCGGATTGGGCTGAAATTTGGTACTTTTTGCATTTATGACAACAGCTAATTTTAACTAACTAGCAAAAAAAATCTGTGATATACAATGAGAACTTTACTTAATCTATTGTTTAGGTGCAGTGGTAGAACATTATGGCTATGGTAGATGTGCTATACTATAGCATACCAGCATGGGTCAACAAAAAATTCAGTGCTGGTATCATTTTTAAACTTGCTAACTCGGATGCTCTGGAAACATTACTCTATGGTCAACCCTCGTACTTTGACAGTACCTTATTCAAATATTTTAGTAAGGGGGGGGGGGGTTATGGATAGTTTAATTTCAATCCACGATTAATCAGTGTAGTTTACCTGATGGAACACCAATGTGTCTTCTCTGATTGTCTCTACCACGGTCATTTGTTCAACTGTTGCTGCAAACAAAATATCAGAGTAAGTAATAAATAATAAACAAACACATACATTTTACTTACTTACCTACACAAGATTAAATAACTAAGCACAATACCAGTGATACCAGTAGCTTAAAGACTGTTTCGATTAATCCAACAGTCCTCAGCATGGTAAGACACAGGACCATTTGATCATATTTGATCATTTTGATGTTTCCAGAGGCCAAAAATGCAATCCCTTCAAATTTTTAGTAAATTTCCTATTGCCTCAATAGGGCAGGAACTATTACTGCAGGTGGCATGGTAAGAAATAGACTTAAAACGAATTTACTCTAATTTTTAATATCCCCAGAGGTCAAATACGCTATTCATTTGAATTTGTAATTTATACTTATATTTATAATTTTTTTGTAATTAATATTTATATTTTAGACTACCGGTATGTGTTTATGAACACGATAACTCAAGTAATCTTGGTCTGATTTTGCTAAAATTTGACAAGAATGTGTAATAGATTAATTTAATTAAGTTTGCGAACTAGCAAGATTGGGTAATAAGAACGGGGTGTTAAAAAGATTTAAAATGTTACCCTTAACACATGAAAATACCGAATTTTCATTACATCCATTATGTAAAGCTTAAACAGATGTTATGAAGCTTTGTTGTTTCATTAAAGGTTAGAGAGTTAAATTCCAAAAACGCTAAAATCATTCCAATCATTTATCATTAGCAACAAAGCCTGTTGTGGTTTTCAACAGTCTCTAGAAAAATACAAGTTCCACATGATTAGATGATGCATACCAGCAAACCCATTACTAAAATCCTATAAATCTTAAAAATATCCAACTTTCATAAGTATTTTCAAATCTACAATCCATTGACCGACTAATTAATAAAATCGGTCCAGTATAACTGTACATTTAGTTGTACAAAGTTAAATAAAAATATCTCAAACTCAGTACTTTCTCCCCACTATAAATTCGGGGGTGCTTAGCTTTTATGCAAATATCTTTAAATGGTGAGGAAATCGACCAAGTGAAAGGTGATATTCTCATAGAGAATAAAATTTACTACAAATTACTTTTATGCATTTCTTGAAAATACTCAATAAAAGCAGCCTAAAGTTGCCTCCAAATAAAAAAATTAAAAAACCCTGTTTTCAATGTATGTATTATGAAAAACATGTGTTTTTTTTAATTTTTTCTATAAATCCTAACAAAACAAACTTTCCTAATTATTTGCAAATCCACGGGAGTGCGCTTTTCAATGACCCATTAATTGATAAAAATCGGTCCAGTAGAACTGTAGACTTAGTTATACCCTACAAAGATTTTTTAAACTGGATCATTATAAGAGTAGATGTTAACTTACATTCCCACTCGTGCCTGTACTGAGGACTAAAGAAGTAGTGGCACATCTCTCGACCCGTCACTCCTTTGACCACATGACATGCCTTGAGTGGGTCCACCACCAGTCCGTTGACTTCCTCCTCTCTCCTGTACATCTTCATCTCTCCTTCCTCAGCAAACAACTGCCATCCTCCCTTCTCCACCTCCCCCACCCCCAACTTGGCATAGTGGATCTGTTCCCCAGTCACCTGTATTACCTGCAACCACACCTCAAAGTAAGAAACCCTGCTGGGTGGGGAAACACCTCCTCTTCCTAGTTCAGTTGTTGACTGTAGACCAGAAGTAGTTTTCTGTTGCAATGCAATGGTGAACAATCAGCATTATACATTATGGTTGCGATAAATTTAGCTGAAATGCAGTTCATAGTTGTTAGCTTATGGAAGTAATGTAGGTCTATATGATGCAGGGTGTCCACAAAAAATTTGTCATTAATTTCCATGACTTTCCATGACTATCCATGACCATTTACCATTGATTACCATGACTCACGAACTTTACACGCAAATTATAATATAACATACACACACAAATAATACTGCCTGGACATGTTATTTTGCAGAAAATACTGAAATATGTAATAACAGTTAACAATGGAGTACAATAGGTACAACAATGAACTAAAACAAACCGAAAACTCATAAAATAATACAACTGTAATACGTAAATTGAATTGTCAAACATTTGTGAAAAATCCTGAAAAATGCTACAACAGTCCGGGTTACGGCTGACTAGAGCATTGAATGGTCTCCTCAAATCCATCCATAATTGGAAATTTCCATGACTTTCCATGACTATCCCTGACTTTCCAGAATGTGGACACCCTGTGATGTCTGTGGGAAATTTATAGGGGATTTAATATGGTCGCCATTTCATTAAAAAATATTAAACTAAACTAAACCCAACATCAATATAATTTTATTGTTTAGTCTTTACAAATTTGTAATAACAAGGTCTGAAAGTAAATAAATTTGGAAAACAAACTGAGGAAAATATCTAGAATATGGAGCACTGGCAGTGATATGGGCATATACATGCACCTGCGTGTAACTTATGCAAAGAATTCTATAGTCAGTATTACCTGTGGCCACAGTCTGTGCTGGTTGGGTCGAGCTGTCAGTGATTGCCGAGGAATGTTTGGCTGTTTCAACCTCTCTCTCAACATAGCCTCCTCTTCCAGCTTGTCCAATCCCGTCTCAACAGCATCATAGAACTCGTCCTCATTCAGTGTGTTGTGAGGACCCTCCTGCGACAAAACAATATATCAATAGTTACAAGTTATAATACAACAAAATCTTGCCCGTATTGCCACTTTAACTTGAAAATGAAATTCAGTCATATTTACATGATTTTTGCGACGTACATATGGGTCAACGGTCTTAGGCCTTGTACAGGTAGAATCGCACCACTTAGATGACCTCAAACACAATGGGGACAGAGTAGGGACACTGCTGCCACTTGTCGTTGACAGACTCTAGCCAGATGGGATGTGCTTTAAAGATTGCACTAAGTCAGAAAATCGAGCTGAGCCAAGCTTAAATTATTATGCTACAAAAATCATCTCTGAGGACTCCACGATGAAAAATTACTGTAGCCGTCGGGATTGTAGAAGATGATTAGATTATAATGTTCCTGTGACTGCAGATGTTCACAATTTTGCAGCGATTGCGGAAGCCAATGATGATGTGTTTGAATGTGTTTTGCAACATCAAGGTTAACACACCCTTAACCACTCCACTCCATATAATCCTTCGCTTGGATTAATTGTCTCTGCCTACTCACAAATAGGGGTCAGATTGTCTGCTAAACATGTTAAAACTGGTTGGTTTAACCATTGACTCAACCTTATTTATGAATCTAGAGACTTCTGCTCCCATTTGGACAGTTTTTGAGTGTTTAATTCACAAGAGAAAGTTTGATTTAACACTATAATACAAGAAACAATTAAAAAATTAGGTTCAAATACTCAATGGGAATATTTGAGAAAAACAAATTATATGGGATTCAAATGTTATAACAAAAATTATTCAGAAATAATAGACAATATACAATTAGAATGATAGAAAACAACATTTAAATTTATAGAGATACAAAAAAAATTAGCTGCTTATTATTATTATATGATGAAGATAGAGTTAACCAAATAAACGATGACACAATTAACTGTTTAAACTAAGTTTATGAAACAATGAATAGAGAATAAAATAACTACTTCCCTATACAAAAATTCACTAAAAAACAATATATTGAAATATTTTCAAGAATGTTCCTGTTATTGGTCTTTAATCCTCAACTCGATTATTAGAAATGTTGGTTTCACAGACATTTAGAATTTTGAAAATTATGAAATACATTTATAAACATTAAAAAGCTTCTCAATTTTGAATAGAAATACCTTAGATTGAACTAAACGCTTTATTCAGAAGGCCTACTTTATAAATGTTTTAAAGCAACAATAGAGGGACATTGTGGTGAAAATCAATTGTCCCCATTTCTTCCTCATTTTTGCTGCCACGTGGCAAAGATTAAACTCTCACCTCTTGGATGTACATTAGCAAACACTTTTGCATTACACCACTAAAAACTTTGAATCAATTTATTACAAAGAATGAAAAAACTCTTAACAAAAGCTTAAAACCAGCTCAGAGCAAGAATCACTTACACAAGTACCGGAGAGTGCAGTATAGTGACACACACAATATCTGTTCCCACAAGTATGATTTATCACAATCACATCAGTGATTCATACACACATACATGTCCAGTAACCTCGTATCACTCCTATTGTATGCTATATCAGATGATTATCAGAATGTAACACAATACTGCAGCATTTGTGGTCCAATGCTTGTCACAGGCCAATTATCATGATTACGCCTAATTGATAACAGTTGCGATGTAAAACCAACTTGATATGATATTAAAACATTGAGAAACTTTTTCATAATTTAGTGTCATGGCCTATTTGTTGATTTTCAGAGATCATTTTGAGCAACAACAAAAAATTCTCCGTATTGGTGAAGTTCGGTAAAAGCCAATTGGTAATATTGCAGTTTGTTTAATCAGTCTTAATTGTTTTTTTTTTGTTTGACATTTTAATGTTTCTTTACATAACTTTTGACACTATTTATAATAACATATTTGAAATAAAATCATTTATAACAGTATCTTAAGAGCGAGAATTATTCCCCCGTGAAAAAAAAATATTGCCCTTAGACTTGGACAATGAATTGTAGACTTAGTTCTGTACTTCTACTAAGTACTTAGTTTGGCACAAAAACATAAAAAATTATAAAATTATTTTGGCATTTTTTAGCCAACGATTTATTTTTTAAGTGAATTTTCAGTTAGAAGTAGTTTAAGATCACGAGATATTGTTTTAACTAAACACAAATATTTAGTATAGAATTTTACAACTCACATACAGAGCTTTCTAGGTGTTGAAATCCATATGTTCAAATAAATGGCAGCAAACAACATAAATTACACCAGTAGAACTTACTAGACCTAGACAGTGTTTTCGATGAGTACTCATTTATTCCATCTTTAAACAATACAATATTGTAATTGATTTCGCCAAAAAAGAAAAACACTCTAATTTTGGCTTACAATGCAGTTGGGCAAGAGACATTCAATTTTTTAAGCACAAGGTCACTGCTCTACATAGGATTCGTACTTATAAATATGTTTACGAGGGGAGCCGTGCAAAATTGCACATTCTAATAGAGTTCAAAACTAGTTTTCGAAGTAAAACATACAATACAATATTTTTTTAAGTATCAAATTGTGTTTGTTTAAGACAGTACAAGGTGAATAAAACTACTAATTTACAATAAATTAAATTTTATTTTTGCAGATTTATATCATCCTACTTCAATCAGGATATAATTATCACTAAAAGTAGCCAGCCTGGGCTATTTAAAATATTCATGAACTGCTTGTCTCTTGTTTACAATCTGACTGTGGTTAAATATGCAACTGCAGAATCAGCTGAATAATTCACATTTAAAACCGTTAGAAAGAAAGTTGGTCAGTAGTAGCCTACTGGTTGTTTGAAAGTTAACTCTAGAAATAAATTTAATGTTAGGTGACAATGCCCTAAATGATATTATCATAGATAAAACATACTCCCTTAGTAGATTTGTCATCCTTATGGAACAGCTGAAGCCAATTTTATTGTTAGTTCTGTACGTCCAACTGTAGAGGTTATGTTTGATTTACAATTTGTTTCTTGTCATTTCAGACATTTAAAACCTCATTTAACCAAATAAAACGGCCTAATCATAAACAAAAACTGGTCTCCTAGTCATATAACCAAATAGTAATGCATAAATCACGAAAATACCCCTAAAATAATAGAAACAAAATTTTGTCTACACCAGCAATCAGTGTGGACGTACATGAACTAGACGCAAAAAACAAGCTTCAAAATTTACAATGGGATGAGGAGTCTACTTGTGTTCCTTAGTCTAGGATATTATCTTGTTGCCAATTTGTTCCTCCGCTAGATCATAAGCTTTAAAATGACACCTATATCATATAAATAAGTTTAGGACAGACACAAAAATGGTTGTTGCAGAGAAAACTTTTTGAATGAAGTATATACGTTACCAGCCATCAAGCAGTCTATACAATGCCTAAAATAAATCAGGCTAAGTATGAAATACAGCTCACTGTGCCTAGTCATTCTATAGTCCTTTGGCACAAAAGGTAGGCTACAGTATAAAATATGTTGTAGGACTTTTTCACTTGTGTTTCATTGTTTGGCACTAAGTAATTTAATCTAAAATAGAGTATTACCGTACACAAACTATTTCAATATTATAGAGTAAATAGTCTTTTGGAACAAATATCTTTATTTTGTAGTTCTTTGCCTGGCACGCTCTTGTGAGCATTCTATAAAATGCTAGGCATTATACACAATCAGTCAAAGTGTATAAAATCCTATCGTTATTGCTCCATTTCTAAACTTAATATACTTTGCCAGTAACATAGCCTATATTCCTCATAACGTTTATTTAGTTTAAAATAAGCAGAATTATATTTACTCTTGGTTTATGATGTAGAACAAATTCAGAGGTTTAATTACTTATCTTTCTGGATTGATTTGCAATTTTATAAGGTCAATTACTTCTTACCAATAGTGACAAGAACAGGGTGTAATGAAGAGATAAGAAAGAATGCCGGAGATAAGAAGTGAGAAGACTATCAGACTTATCTCAAGGTTATACACTGGGAGTGTTTGTTTATGTTTTGATGTGGCTTGTATATAAATCTAACAGATTTACAGTTTGTAGAAAAAGTTCAATAATATTACTAAAGCCTTTAACTATTGATGCAACAATATACTTCAGTACCCAATAGTCAATGCTAAAGTGCATCAGATTAATTAAAATATTCCCAACACAAGATCACAATAACATATCTACTCTGTTGCAGCATGAGCATGTACAGTGCCATAGTAGTTACCTTATATTCAATTTAAAGGTTTTTTTTAAATGATATTAGTTGAACCATTGTTGAACTGTCAAAAACAGATGTTTTATCTAAGTTTAGTACTTAGATTTATTGAGTAAGGATAAAATAAATTGATTGTTTCCCAAAACAACACAGTAATCATTGTTTTTTTTAAATTATAATAGTTGAAGCATTGTTGAACTGTCAAAAACAGATGTTTTATCCAAGTTTACTACTTAGATTTATTGAGTAAGGATAAAATAAATTGACTGTTTCCCAAAACAACACAGTAATCATTGTTTTTTTAAATGATATTAGTTGAACCATTGTTGAACTGTCAAAAACGGATGTTTTATCCAAGTTTAGTACTTAGATTTATTGAGTATGGATAAAATAAATTGATTGCTTCCCAAAACAACATAGTAATCATTGTTAGTAAAAAAAATGCACTTTAATAATGCTAAATTGTTTGGCTCGTTGAGAATGTTTTTTTAATACAGCAACAGCAACTCGGTTCCTGCACACGCTTTGCTTTACAGGGACATAATTTTAGAATACTGTCTCTTTGTTATACAAATATTATGTAATGTTGCTTTTTCTGAATATATAATAAATCAGAAGTTTAAGTCAGGAAAAAAGTAAACAAACAATTATAAATCAAAACAAACGTAACGGATAACACGGAAAACGAATAATCTAAAATATTTTAAATATAACTAAACACAACCCTTTTGATTCAGGTTTGTTCGTTCGTACCTTTTCGAGAGGGTGTGTCAAAAACTGATATTT